CCCACACCCACACCCACACCCACACCCACACCCGCACCCACACCCACACCCACACCCACACCCACACCCACACCCCACCCACACCCACACACCCACACACCCACACCCACACCCACACGTCGGTACCTTCAACTGCTTTTTGATGGGATGAATGGGTGATGGTGTGTGGATGGAGGTGTAACCGTCGCCGAATAGAACGTCTCATTGTTGATAATAATCAGTAACATCTCAAGTGTAATCTATGTGATAATTAGAGATTGCTGAAACCAATAGAACTTTTAAAAACTAGAAATCAGTGTATTTTTTCTTGGATGACATATGGTCTGAAAACCGAGCTGATAAGCAAATATGTCTCTTTATGATTTTGTGACGCTACCATATTTATTAGGTTCTCATTTATCTTGTTTCTTCATGCATAATAGATTCATCGCTATTATTTTCTCATTTTTGTGATTTTTGACTTATTCAGTAATCAGTTTCGACTAACTGTCTAGTTTAAGTTCGAATATAAATGTAACTAGCATTGCTATTCGAATTCCAATCGATACTCTCCTACCAGTTTAGAAAAAAGAAAAATATTTAGTTTGAATTTGAATTCGAATAATCAATAAAAACAAATCTTGCTCTTCTTCTCAACTCACAGGAAACTATTGATTTGAATTTGGAATCAAATTCTAATTTTAAATGTTAGTTTCACTTACGATCCAACTCAAGCTACCATGCAGGTGGCACATTATCTTTATTTTACTTTGAATAAGTAAAGTAAAGTAAAGTAGACTAAACTAAAATACTGTCATTTGAACGTGTAAAATAAAGTAAAATAAAGTTAACCAAACAATGTTTTTCATGTATTCATAGAAAATCGACATTTTTTGGCTTTACTTATTTTTTTTACACTAATTTTAAGATGAAACGATATTGAATAAACTTTGATACGTTCTAAGATTATTTATACATGATCCTGAACTAAGACATTGCTAAAAAGTTTAAAACATACAACTTCATTTTGTTCACTTTACTTTACTTTTTGGATAAAGTATATTCACTTTACAGGATAAAGAAAAGTATTTAACTTTACTTTATGTGATAAAGTAAAGTTCTAATATTTAACTTTACTTTATCTGATAAAGTCAGGTTCTAATATTTAACTTTATTTGGTACAGTAAAGATAAAGTGCCTGCCCTAAGCTATCATGTTTGAATTTTATTTGTATTTTTGATGGACCGTCACATTATTGCCATTTTGGCTTATATCATAAGTTACTGTTGTGTGGTTTGAAGTTATGTTATGATGGGATAGTGTGAATTTCTTGAATTAATGAAAATAAAGTTACATCTACTGGGAAAATTTTTGCATAAAAAGACATGAGCATGCTAAGAGAAAAACAACGTTATAATTCTATGAGAACAGAACGTCTAATGTTTGTCTTAACGGTAGAGACCTACGAAAGACCCTGTGAAATAAATTAGGAAAAATTTTGTCATCGTCGCCGCCGAAAACGACCTTCTCGGGAAGAACTTCTCGCCACCGCCGATGCCTTAAAACTTTTTTGTCAGTGTGGATGTGGGTGTGGAATAGAGAGCTGCGGGTCCATGTTTTTTTGGGACCCGGATGGGGTGAGTGTGGGTGTGGATGTGCGTGTGGTTGTAAATAATTAGGAGAAACACCAATCCCAACCCACACCCTCACACCCACGCCCACATCCACACCCACACCCCTATAATGATTGAAACAAAAAAAAAACAAGTAGCTGAACTTTTCTATTCTAGTCACTAGTAGATATAACTAATAGAAATATAATTTTATTTAGTAGAATATTAAATCTCTCTTGAAATTCAATGTCTGCTCTACCTTCTTTTTAGTTATTCATTATTTCATTTTTTTTGTTATTCCATACTATTCCAGTGTCAGTTCTGAATAACATTCTGTTCAAAGACTTAAATCTATGTAGCACCTGTTTATTGTACTTCATAAGTTTAAACATTGATGATTTGTTCAAAAATTAGTTTTAGAGACAAAAAAAAGAATTTTAAAATCATTTAATGATGAAATGAAAACGCCTATAAACAAATATTTATTTTAATAATAAGAAAAAAAAATAAAAACAAGAAAATTGTTTTTTTTTTCAAAGAGAAATTTTATCGGTAATTATCAATAAATCAAAGAATATCTTCCATGATTTTAATCTCTTAGATTTCGCATTCGATGTTGTTTATTAAAGATTTTACCATTGAATAACTTACTACGATCTTATTATCATTCCGATGGACAAAAGATGCACCATACTCTCAACTAATTTTCATTACACGACTCATTCGAGAAATAAAAACAAAACATTGATTTCGAAATGCTCTTCTTGGCTCAAATACCAGTATTTCGACTAAATATTCATTCCTCTGCTTGTATCAGAACGAACTCAACAAGGAAAATTTACCGTGACTATTTTGTTTATAATGAATCAAACGTCATATTGTTTTCTATTACCATGGTAAAACCTTCCAAACTTCACTCTTCATTCCTTTTTTTTGTCATGTGACTCCTGTTAGTTGAGAGCGATCGAGCAAAAACAGAATAGAAAACACAAGAAGTTTTGATTACTCATCGATTCTTGCTATTCTTCTGTTACTGCGTCTATCTTAAAAAAAAATAATAAAACACAATCTTGTTTCTCGTCTTTATAATAAATAATGTTAAATGAACAGATCACTGGATCAAATGAAAGACTTGCGAACGAGGTAAGTACAGATTATGTATATGTGGATTGAGTGTAAAATGGCTCAGTACAACGTGCAGTATTAGTGAGGATACTTTCTAGAGTGTATATGTAGAAAATAATAAACGAAATACTTTATCATTCAAAAATCGTTGTGATTACATCTTCGTATACATCAAGTTTTTTCTTTTAATTCTCAAGATTCTTCAAACAAAAATATATTATAAAGTTTCTATCGCATGTTTAAAAAATATCACTCTGGAAAAGACATAAACATGTTACAAAAAAATCAGTTTTTGAAAATTTATCAATATTAATCCTATCTATGTATTTCAATATTAGCTAAAGTATGAAAAATCTATAGTTACAGTTCATTTCCTCGACAACATAGTCTAAGATTCTTACGTTCTAACAATAACAAGAGCTAAAGAACTATATTTTGTCTTCACACCAGAGACAAATTTACAATTATGCATTTTATTACATAAAAAGTTATTATACAAATCGAGTTACTACTTTCTAACAAGAACACAGAATTAAAAGTATGATTGTAAGAATTTAGATATACATACTACTAATATACGAGAATAAATGCAGAATGGAAGAAATATGGCTTTGTTAACAACAGCAGTGTTTTCCATGTATTACATAAGTCATTAGTAACTATCAATCGTATCTACGTTTCGTGCTACATAGAGTCTTCCAACGAGTTCTTTAAATAAAATTTTTACTAGAAAATTAAAAAAAGGTTTTACACGAAATATTTCTAAACAGAACTAGAAAAAGAAACTTTTGGAGAAACCACGAAATTCAGAATAGTAGAAGTTTTCACATATTCCAAATATGACCATATGCGAGTTCATTTGCATAAAACTACATGAAAAGAAAAATTAATAACTGAGAACAGTTAGAACAGGTTTTTTTTATTGATGACTTAATTCTTTTCCAAATTAGTGAGAAGTGACGATCCTACAAGCCACGTAATACTATAGTGCAACAGTGTGCTGAGTTGCTCATCGTCTAATTTTATTTATTTTATTTTTTCATAAAGAACGTTTCTTGTGTAGAATATAGGCCTGACTAGATCAACATTACAACGTTCGGAGTCGAAACGTTGCATAATTAATCCAACGAAGATTAATATTTCACCTGAAGATGCCTTATTAAGAGATATAGAAGAAATTTCGATTGTCTGGCTTGATTGTAATATTCATCGAAATGAAGATTGTATTTGTACCGAACTAGAACTACGTCGTCTCTTTGCCAATGTCAAGACTTTCAATGATTTTGAGGAATGTGTGAATTATTTGACAACTCTACCAAACAAACATGATCGCGTTTTTCTCGTTGTATCCGGTGCATTAGGAGATGCACTTCTCGAACGTGTTGAATCATTAGACGCTATCATTTGGGTATATGTGTTCTGTAAAAATGAATCATTTCATAATGAATGGACAAAAAAATATGCTAAAATTAGGGGTGTTTTCGTGAAACAAGAACCACTTTTTTGTCAGCTCTTACCTGATATGACTAAATATTCAGCTCATTTAACACCAATGCGCATTTTTCAATCGGATGAGAAACAAAAATCTATTCACGACTTGAACACTCAAACAGCATCATTCATGTGGTTCCAGTTACTCATTCGAATTATACTTACTATGGAAAACAATCGTGATGATCGTGCTAAGAAAGATCTTATTGATGTTTGTCGAAAGCGTTACGAAGGTAATATAACCGAACAACAGCGTATAACAGAATTTGAAAACAATTATAGATCAGGCCAAGCGATACATTGGTATACTAGAGATAGCTTTCTTTATCGTTCAGTGAATAGAGCATTTCGTACAGCAGATATTGATATCATCTATCAATTTCGCTTCATTATTGCTGAAATTCATGAGCAATTAGCGAGCTTATCTCGTCCGTCTACTGCTAATCTAGTAGTGTATCGGGGTCAACTGATTAGTACTGAAGAGATGCGTATAATAGAAGCAAATCAAGAGAAAGGTTTTATATCCATGAATACGTTTTTGTCAACTACCGAAAATTGTGATCAAGCCGTGGGCTTTTCTGGGATAGGTACAGGTGTACCTGAAGGTTTGAAATGTGTTCTCTATAAAATTACAATTGGTGAAACACGTCAACCATTTGCACGCATTGATGGTCTAAGTGCAATTCCTACAGAAAATGAAATTCTATTCTCGATTGGAACTGTGTTTCGAATTGATAGTGTCGAAGAATGGCCATCTGGCTGGGAAGTCTCTCTCAACCTTACCACAGAAGTAGAGGAACGTTTCGAGATGCTTATGAAGCATTTTCTCGATGAAATTGGTCAGAAACCTACGTTGGCGATGTTAGGTAAATTCTTGATGATGCAAGGTGACTACAATCGTGCAAAACGTTATTTCGAATTTCTTCTCGACATGAATGGATCCGACACAGATGATGAAGGACGGGTTATTTGTTATGAATATCTTGCTAATATTTCGGACGAAAAAGGTGAATATGAGAAAGCAATGTATTATCATCATCAAATATTGAATATTCAACAACGTAGGCTGAACCCAGATGATCCGTATTTCACTCAAATTTACAATAATATAGCCGCTACACAAATGGCTCTAGGACAATACGATGAAGCAGCTAAAAACTTTGAACTTTCTATCTCATATGATGTGCAAAATCAGTCTTATGATAAAAGAGGTCTGTCTATCTCATATAACAATGTGGCTACGATGTATACTGAACTGGGAGATTACACAAATGCAGCTCATTACTATGAGAAAGCTCTGGAAAATCAGTTAGAACTAGGTCTAGGTGCTTTGAAGCATCCTGATATTGCTATCATCTATCACAATCTGGCTACGTTGTACGACGATATGAAACAGCCTGAAAGAGCAATTCAATATTATGAAGAAGCATTAACAATTCAAAAAGTTTCGCTTCCGCCGGAACATCCCGCTCGAATAGTGACAGAAAGTGGGTTAGCTATGGCCTATCTCCAAATGAATAACAATACTTTAGCATTGCAGACGTGTCTAGCGGTACTCGATTCTAAATTAAAAATACATCCGCCAAATTTTCCATCGCTTTCAAAAACCTATATGAATCTTGGATATATTTATCAGGATTCAGGGGACTTTAACAAAGCCGAGGAACAATATAAGATTGCACTGCAAATTAATGAGCGCCATCTTCCTGCCAATCATCCACAAACCGGAAAAAATCATCAGTTAATTGGTGATCTGTATGATGAAATGGGCAAGACAAAAGAAGCTCTAAATCATTATCAACAAGCTCGTTATATATTTCAGATCCAAGACACACCGAGCTTCACAGAGTTGGGAAAAGCGTATGTCAATTTGGGGACAATAGAAACAGTTTCATCAAAAGCTATTGACTACTTAGAACAAGGCTTGTCAACATTGCTAAGAGTTGATGTAATAGATAAGAGGGTATTGGCTTTTGCCTATGATGCTCTTGGAACAAAACATAGGGAATGTGATAACTTGGAAGAAGCACTTAAAAACCATAAGAAGGCTCTTGATCTTGGACTTGAATTAGTCAATTATGATGAAAACCATCCGTCGCTTAGTAATTATTATCATGGTTTGGGTGCGACATTTGCTGACCAAGGTAATATCGAGAAAGGACTAGAATATGTCCAAAAAGCACTCAATAATATGCTCAAAATACGAGATCCTGATCATCCAATTTTGGGCCCAATATACAATACTTTAGGAGACTGCTATAACGAACTTAAAAAACATGATCAAGCCATTGAATATTACCAGAAAGCAATTAATGCGTACAAACAACCAAATGCTCAAAATCTTCGATCTCTCGCCATGGCATATGTAAGTATGGGATCCACTCATTACGATATAAATGATCAGGAAAAAGCGATTGAATACTATCGAATGGCATTAGATTTACAGCTAAAAAATCTCGAGCCAGATGATCCTGACTTAATCGTGACTTATTGGTATTTAGCCTCATACTACGAAGATCGAGAAGATTATACAGCAGCATTGACATATTTAATTCCTAAATTGACAATTCAAGAAAAAGTACTTTCATCATTCGATCTTGAACTTGCTGATGCGTACCACGATGTAGGTACAATTTATTTCTTCAACAAGCAATATCAATGCGCAGTGGAATTATATGAAAAATCGCTCAATATTCGACGTCAACAGAAAAGTCGACTTGCATCGGCTTACGATGCGCTTGGCGATGCTTACAAAAGCCTTTATGAATTTGATGCAGCATTAAATAATTATGAAATGGCCATAAAACATCTCATTGAGGAAGGAGAGAAAGAAAAAAGTGACGATTATTACGAGGTTCTATGCACATTGTACAAAAGTGTAGGCACTATGCAACAACGATTAAACTTATTAGACGAGGCTCAAAAGAGTTTACAACAATCGTTAGCTTTGTGTGACACATATCTAATCAATAATGAAGAACATGATGAACTACGATGTAATATATTAAAATCTCTAGCCCAAATTGACAAGACAACTCAAAAGATTACGTCCAGAAGTTTAGTATGCTCAATTTATTAAACGAAACACAAATTCTTGATCTAACGAGAAGAAAGCTAGAGGACGAGCGTGGGCATGAGTGGTGATGTGGATGTGCATTCTTTTTACACACCCAGAGTTACATACCTAATACATCCACAATCACAATCACACACTCATACTCCCACCCATACCCTATATTGCATTTTGTTGGATTAGTAAATATTTTTCTATTTGTTGATCGTATGAATTATTGATGTCAATAATTGAAATATGTGTTTATTAAAAAAAGAACTAAATTTGATATAATGTTCAGATTATTTTGACTTTTTAGTTATTTCTACATAAGTTTCAAGAGTTCTCTTCATATTATTTTTATTATAGTGGAAAAAACTTGTTCTTGCAATTTTCATTTTAAATTTCAAATTTCAAATCGAAATTAATTCTTCAACATTTGATAAAACTGGAGTATTATTTCACCGGTATTTTGAAGTTCTTCCATTGTTCCTATAACATATTTATTTTGATATTTTTCTAATTAATTAGTATCCACTTTGATGAAAGTTACACATTGAATGCCCATGTCGGCAAATTTTTATGAGATTAATTTTGAAAATAGTTTTTGTGCTACATCAATTAACAATATAATTTCTTTACTATTACTATTAATCCATTTGAAAAGAATTTTGATTGTATCGATTCTCACAGTTGGACCATTGTTATTCGATTTTTTGGATGTAATCGATTGTGCCTCGATAACACTCATGTCAATTTTCTTATATCCACCTTTCATCAACAACGTTTTTCTGCGAACAGGATTCGACTTCGAATTAATGATATTGACAGTCGGTAGAATGCTTTCATTAAAAGTCGAATTGATTAACATAAACTCAGCCAGTCAAGTTCGTATTTCTACAGGCGAAGCAAACGTATCAGAAATGCGACTGTATATTGCATTATACAGGTTACCGTTGCTGTCTTCAACACCAAGCAAATCTGAACTGCTAATTGATTCATTTTCCAACATATTAAGAGCCAATTTTTCGAGCTCGTTTTTATCTTTCACTGATTTTTATAGAATTTTGTCAAGTTTTTCTTTAGCATTTGCTTCGATGGGTGTGAATAAAGAAAAGGTCTAACGCTTGGACCCACACCCACATTCTTGATTTAACTACAGTCTAAGTTTGAATTGGTAAACAGAAAACAAAATCCCTTTGAAACGTTCTAGTAAATGAAGAAAAACATTTTTCTACAATAGGATACTCAATGATTTTTCACCGTGATTAAAAATGGTATGTAAATGATATTCTTAGGTATATTCGATGGACTTCTAGGAGGACACTTAGTACGAGCAAGTACAAGTAGTGCTCAGTAACTTTGTTTCACTCCGTTCTGACCCTCGGTAAAAGTTTTTGAAAAACCAAATATATAGACAGATAGGCCTTTCATTTCTCTACAAAATCCACATTAGTGAGTTTCAATATCGAAAGTTTTCTTCACAGGCAGTATCTTTTACATTTTCTAGCAGTTATCTGTGAAATTGTGCGAACTAAGCGAAGTATAGGAGCCAGAGAAAATCTAGAGTTTGAATTTACTTCAATTACACAGTGTTTTTTTATTGTTAAATAATTAATTAATTAAATCAGTATTGGCAAATCGTAGGTGCTATGTGCTTATAATTATTCAACCATTAACGGCGATATTAACAAAAGACAAACATACAACAAATGCCGTGTATTCGTAAAATGATTCATAGCTTCTGTTTGTCAACAACTACTAACTTTTAAATTATAAAAACTTGTAGTCTTCACTTCCACATGATTATAATCATAATACATAATGAATACCTTTTGTTGCATTAAAAAAAAAGGTAAAAGATTAAAATTGAAAAGAAATCATAAGCTCATACTGAATTTGAAATTAATGAAGTGTAATAATTGAGTTATTACTCAGAACTATTCATAATCTAAATGTAATATTCGAATAGTAAAAAATGAAAAGAAATTTTTTGTGAATTCTTGATCGATTATGAGGTATTCGATATTTCAAAATCACTTATATCTGTCATATATTTCAATAGATTGATAAAAACATGAAACCTCCTGTCGAATAATTGATAAATAGTTTCATAAGAAAAATCCAAATACCTCCACAAAGTTTTCTAATTGGATCGAGTATCGAAAAAGGGTGAGTATGGGTGTGAATCGAATTTCTCCCCACCACATCTACACACTCTAGAAACAACTTAGCAAATAAATTATATTTTATTTTGTCTTTTTATCTCAGCATTATCTATCGATTCGTTTGGTAACAAGAATGTGAGTGTGGTGGAGAAAAATTAGATTCACACACATCCATCCTCACGCCCACACCCACACCCTAGTACTTGAACGAGCTCCATTTCGTTCACATTTATCATAGATTTTATAGATTAATTCATTAAGTACATATTTACGTTGTTTACCATCATCTATAGATGATAGAGGTAAATCAGTAATTGTGTCGATGCTTGCACTTACAGAACAGAGAGCAGCATCGACAGTATTACAAACAGATTAATGATCAGTTCGTATTATCTAAATAAATACAAAGTGAAAAAAATTAAACAAAAAAATAATTACAATAAACTATTATTCATGTAACATCTGGAAATAATTGATTAGTATCAATGAGAATTAATCATCCACCACATAAGATATTTACATTTCTAGTGAATCAAGCAGTCAAAGCCATACCAGTTCCACTAATTGTTTGATCACCAAAAGATAATGCTTCTTATTCAACTCGATAAAAACTGTATCAGATACAGCAATATTCACTTGAACGTCATCGATTAATCGTACATTCTTCAATAAATAATTTATAAAAAAGAAAAATATGATAATCAAGATAAAATACTTAATCTCTTACTGCATGTGTTTATCTTGGTCTTCCATTTACACTAACTCTAATATCCACTGATACTTCTTCAACATCACTAACAACACCATTATTAATAACACTAAGATGTGCAGTATCAATCATAGAATTAGTAGAACCACTAAAAAAAAAGGGAAATCAGACCAACATATTGAATCTTCTGATGATAATGGAGTACCAGCATTTCTAGTAAGAAAAAAAAAACATTTGAAGGAAGAGATGCTTGTAATGCTTCAATAGTTTGTTTAGCTAATGGGCGTAGACATGCATTGAGTATTCCAGCATCCTCACGTTCAGATAGACCAAGACCAGCAATTTCATGTAAAACACTAATAAATGCTGTAGGTGATTCTTCACGAATAATTTGTCCTACACGTACATCTTGATCTATTCGATATGGGGAAAAAACACCACAAATGCAAAATGTACAAATATCAAGAGCACGAGCTCCTTCAACCTAAATTATCAACAACAAAAAGAAAACAAAAATTGGAATAACTATTTCTTTCAAATTTTGTGGTCAATTAGTCATCGGAGGAATAGCATGTGTTGTTGGTCCAAGGTGTGGATGTGGATATAACTCCCTCTAATGACACTCGCATGTATACACACGTCTACACACCTCACACCCACACTCAACTATTCGATGATTTGCGCATCCATTCTCATAGACGCATGCATAAACAGCGCGCACGTTTTCTTTCAACAAAAAAAAAAAAGAACGTAGATCATTTGAAAAAGGATGACTCATACACTTATATTTAGTATAGTGAAGAAAAAAAATAGTAGAAAAGGAAAAAGGTGTACTTATTATTTGTTATATTCAAAAAAACTTATTTATATTCCTATATTATAGATCGATGTAAAAGAATGGTTATTGATAGTATGCACGATTCATCAATCAAATTATTATTAAAATGTATCTGTATTCTATGAATGCAATGATATCAAATAAAATTTGATAAACTAATTATAAATTTACTGTTGTTGTTATTATCTTTTCACATACTGATCAAAGAATTCTATGATATGTAATTATTTGATAATGAATCTCATATGTGTATTGCCTTATTAAATTAACTAAAGTTCTCATTATTAAAAGTATTTTATAAATAAAATTTTCTATTGTCTAAATGTAAGTATATATAAGTTATATACAAATATAATTTATCTCAACCTTATCAATAACATTGGGGTGACAGATCGCAAATCAATCACTTTTTTTTTCTGTACATCAGGTTTTTTTTGGGTCCTTGATAAAATAAAGAAAAGCACAAAGTATCTCTATTTTATATATCAAACAGTGATACCATTGATGACCTATGTTTGAATAATATTAAATTTTTTCTTTGTTCTCTTTCTGTTTTAGATTGTGACAAAAAAAAAACTCGAGTATATTCATAAGACTGTTAAAATGATAATCAACATGTGTCAATCCATGTTACTACTATGGTTCACATTGCTCATCATTGATAAACCTACGAAATCATTATGTATGACATCATCTAAATTTACTGAATTATATGTTGTTCCATTTCCAACTCTACTCGGTGACGACGCTGATGGTTCGCTTGCGCGACCATATTCATCATTAAAACGAGCTCTTGATCATGTAGAACATAAGTATTATCGTAGTATGACAAGTTTACCACGGCGAACGGCTATATATTTGTATCCAACGTATCATTTCGTAAATACTCTTCACTTAAATAGAGCTCATAGTCGCATACGAATAACAACAATGAATACGGATATGACTGCCTTTTACGAAGAACTTATTGTACGTGATCATACATATCGACGATTGTCGAGAGCAAGTATTAGTGGTGGAATGCCAATAACTCATTGGATTGAAATTGATGATGATGTATACAAAGCTGTCGTACCATCAACAGTATATGTTAATCAATTATTTGCTGATGATCGACGAATTATTCGTACACGTATACCAATGAATCAATCAGCTTATCTTCAATATGAAGCACCATTAAATGATCCAAATCAAGCTCGCTATGGTTTTCAATATGTTCAAGGACAATTTGATTCTATTCCATTAAATGATGTTATGGTAGTGGTATATCATAGTTGGACAACATCACATCATTATATTGATCAAATTATTACATCGAATAGAACGATTTTATTTACAAATCCATCCGATCTTCCTATTGGAACATTTACTATGCAAGGAAAACGACGATTTCATATAGAAAATAGTTGTCTAGCACTTGTATCAAATTCATTTTGTTTTGTTAATGAAACAAAAACTATTTATCTTAAGACAAATGGTTCTTATAATCCAAATAACATACAAATAATTACACCAATACATGAATTTATTATGTTAATTGCTAGTACTGATGCTAGATATCCCATTAATAATATTATTATTGATAATATTGCAATACAACATAGCGCATGGAATATTGGTCGTAGGCAACAAGCAGATTCACAAGCAGCTGCATTTCTTAATTCTGCTGCACTTTATATTGCTAATGCAACATCAATTATTATTTCAAATGTTGAAATTAATCATATAGGTTCATATGGAATATGGATTAAAGAAGGAACAACAAATGTCAATGTTTTTAATTCATTAGTGACTGATACAGCTGCTGGTGGTATCCGAATTGGTCAAATGATAGCATCAGTATCAACACCAACTACTTCTATTAAAATTATATCCAATGAAGTTAGTTATGGTGGTAATGTATTTCCTAGTGGTGTAGCTGTCATAGTTCATTGTGCTAATGATGTTATTATTGCTGATAATAGTATACATCATCATCGTAATTCAGGTATATCTGCTGGATCGGTGTTGGGCTATAAAGAATCATATACAAGTAATATTATTATTCAAAATAATTATATTTATAATATTGGACAACATATTCTATGTGATCAAGGTGGTATATATACACTTGGTATTCAACCAGGAACAATTATTGATGGTAATGTTATTAAGAATGTGTTTAGTTATGCAATTTTTATGTGGGGTATTTATCTTGACGAAGGTACATCACAAGTCATTGTTTCTAATAATATTGTATATAATACTGGTTGGGCTTCGTTTTTTCAACATTATGGTGCTAATAATACTATTGTCAATAATGTATTTGCATGTGCATCAGTTAATCCAGCACCACATTCTGATGATACTGATCCAGATGGTGATATTCATATTGGACTTGCTGAAAATCATACATCAATAATATTTACACGTAATATTATCTATGATACATTTCAAGGAGAAAAACATTCAGTTTATCTATCAAGTCCTAATGTAATTGCACCATTTAACGATAATGTTTATTATAATCCCTATGGTACTTCATTACTATTTGGATCACAACAAGTATCATTCATTGAATGGCAAAAAACTGGACAAGATAATAATAGTGTAATAGCAGACCCATTATTTATTGGTGATGTTAATCAATGTGATTTTTTTACTATCCGATCCGATAGTCCCGCAGCAAAACTTGGCTTTGCAAATATAACTAAACTTTCGAAATGGACTTCTGGATGTGATGCAAATGATGAAAATGATAATAATCAATTTTATCATTGGTAATCCAAAATAATTTTACTAAACTTTTTGTCTATTCGTCGTTTGATTTTCAATGTCTTTGGGTGATGAGATGAATGACAATGGATCTATTGTTACTATTATTGTGTCTTTTTCGTTTTTTAGTATCGATCTTACTTATTATGACCTGATTTATAAATTAGCTTCGAATATTATTTGATATATTGTATATTTGTTTTATATTGAGAAATTTCTGCAAGTAAATAATATAGAATTGAAAAAGTTAGTTTTCATAGTATAAATACTGAAAATATGTTTCAATAGCTATCATAATTTACCAATACTATGAAATATACAATGAATAAATCATGTGTTGCAATAACAACAAATAGAATATTTATAACGATCAATTAAAATAATGTTATTTTCTGATAAAGTTACAGAAAATGTATGATATTTTGGATTTATTAAGTATTGGGATGAGTGTGGGTGTAATTGCTGGAAAGAACAACATACATACCCATACTCACCCACATAAATAAGCATTAAAAGATTCAATGGTGGTAAATATTTGTTGTAATTTTCATTCCAATCATAAGTAGATAATATGTGACATATACATATATATATAAATAACAGATACGATAGTTCCTGTAATAATAATTATTCTTGTCTTTCGAATTGTATTTCTTGAATGAAATCGATCAGATTGTGAACTAAACCAATAAAGATCCAATGAAACTAAAATAAGTATTAAATTAGCTTGAAACAGAACAACAAATAAAATATAGAAATATGTTTTACATCTAATTCAATTATTTGCCTAATTAATAGATAAGCTACGTACAAATAATGTTGGACATAAAATACAACTATAAATAATACTAAATATACCATAAACTAAGACATAATGTGTACATGGTGATGAAGGAATAGTACGAGAATATAATAAATGTATATTAAGACTATTTCTTAAAAATGAGAAAAACAAATAAAACGGTTGTATATAAATATTCGGTTGAAATACATGATGAATAACATCATTCATATTTAAAATGTTTAGTTTTATTACTCAACTTTTTCTTTTAAAAATATTTCTGAATGAATACTCTTCATTTATATATAATTGTCATGTATGTTGCTTTAAATAAAGATTTGTTTTTATAAATCTAAGTAAATATATAAATTCTCCTAGGAAATATAATAAAGTCGTTGAGAAATAAATATGCCATAAAAACAAAAAAGATTTTATCTATCGTAAGTGTGAGAAAAATTTTGAAGTCGATTTTTATTTCTTGATAGACATGTGTATTGTTCAATGATCTAATCTTTGAAAATATTATATATTTTCAAATTCATCTATTTCTTCAACAAAAGATAAAAATAACACAGTAGTAGTATTTTTTTTGTATAATAGGCACATAAAAAAGTATGCTAATACCTAATTTTAAATTTTGTATTTATTACTTAAAACAAAAAGAGATATTACAGTACCAAAAGAATAAGAATAAAAAGTAATTATTGAATATCAAAGAGTAGAAATGACATGAATCTTTTAAATATGAACTGAAATTTGCTTTTAGTTCTCTTGTCACTTTGAAGATCAATCGATTCATATTTTATTTTTGATCAATTTCAACATTCTTGCCTTCAAGAAAGAATATTACTCCCAATATTGGATGTTCACTATTTTTCTTGTTACGAGCTAATGTTGTAGACTGTCATCGAATGTTTTTTTTTTTTGTGAACATTGTCTTTCGTTTTGAAATAATTGTTTGCATTTGTTGAGTGTCTAGGTAATAAAGATAAAATGCCATCACTACTCGTGTCACGCTAATATTTCTTCCTAACTATATGCAATTCGTTAGTGTCAAATCTACAATAAAGAAAGGATTTCAAGGTCAAAAAACAAATTAAATCTTAGCTGAATTAGTATGTAACATAGATGCGCAAAGATTCGATTACTTACTCTTAAGCTGAAAAAAATTAAAATGAAAATCACACTAGTTTTCTAATTCAATTGCATTTGTTGAAGAGAAAAACGTGACTTGCACAAAATGTGTTCTATAATTATTCTACATATTTTGATTGTCGCCGTTAAACTTATCGATGGAGTGTTTATATGTAAGAATGACGGCATGTTCGAAAATGTTGATAATCATCATACATTTTGGTATTGTCTTCACGGCAATGGATATCTTAAACCGTGTCCAGCAAGTTCAATTTGGTCACAAATAGATTGTCAATGCGTTCGGAAAAGTAAGTATTACTTTGCTTTATCATATCAAGAACGTTTCCATCGTACGATCGATGATACAAACGTCTGATTTTCACTATGATTTCATCTTGTTCTATAATTGTAGCAATGTTACCAACAGTTACAGTAACAACAACAACAACAACAGAAGAGACGGTTTTACCAACAACAGAAACAATATCAAGTGAGTCGTTTAGATAATACTCTTACTCGAGATTGTAAAATTGAAAATGTAGGAGTTTTTATCAAGAAGATTAGGCCAGTTATATGAGACTTGTACTTCGAAGATCGAAACAAATATTCTTAAAACATAGATTATACTAGTTAAAATAGAGTACGACGGATATTTACGATTGTGTTTAACTTATAGTAACTGTTTCTATTCAGAAAATAATAATTTTGATTAAAATTCACGAAAGATGTTTTAATTCTTTGCTTTAGCATGGTACAAACGAAATTAGAGTTTCTCAAAATTGAGATAAATGGTAGGCTTGAAATGATGATTGATAAATCAAAGGTTAAAAATTGCTACGGATCACCTTGTGCATTCGTACCTAACAAAGCAGGAGTAATCAGAAAGTTATTTACGCTGTAGAATTCTGTATTGTTAAAACAGATGGACTATTTATGAATATGTTCGGCAAGTTTTTGTTAGTTCAAATCTTGTGAACTAGTTAATTATACTATTGAACTTCTACTACATGAAATCATTTTCGTATGAATTAGAAAATATGAGCACATCATTGTCACAGCATCTCTGTATAACAACGATTCCATAAAAAAGCATTTCAAAAAAATTTTGTCTTCATTCGCAAGTTGAAAGTAAACATTCATTTTAGATTGCTTGGATTCAAATTTAATTACATTTGAAAATGCGGCAAACTATTCCAAAATCTCGAATGGTTATTATGGTTTGACATGGACGAATGCTTATGTACTTGATACACAAATATATCCACAATGGTCTGAAAGTGGTTTTTATTCGGCTATTAAATCGGGTACTTGGGTTGCATTTAACATGAATGGTGAACGAATGACAATTTCTATAGATACACCAAACACATTTAGTATAAAATCATTTGTTGTCTCATCTGCATGGAATGATTATGTTACATTATCAATGGTTTCGCAACGTGCATCTACGTATTATAAAGAAGCATCATTTAAAATTGAAAAAAATCGTTCAACTACGATTGAATTAAATTGGTTCGATATTAATACAATCACATTCTATGCATCAATTAATAATAGTCAACATGGAGAAGTATTTGTTATTGATGATTTATGTTTGTAAGTGCTTGTTCGTTGCGTATAAGCACCGAACATTATAATAATGTTAGATGCTAGTTTTTTATATCAGCAGTGCATCTAATAATTATTTGTTCAATAAATTTAACTTTTACTAGTATTTACTATAGATTAACAACAGCAATCAGTGTTATGATGAAATACATTCTGAATAGGTTTCAGAAAGTTTCTATGAAATAAGCCTTCTTTTTGGCAGAAAATATCTTAAGTTTTCGATTATTAGATGCTAGAATAGGTTGCATATTAATTTGTCTTATTTTGTTTTTCCGTTATTCAAGAGTGATCGAATACATTCTTTTCACTACTAAACAAACTTTAAGCATATTTTCTTGTTTTTCCTTAAGGGACTCAACTACACTGTCAACATCAACATCAGCCGAAATTGAAGATAAATGTTCATTGAACGAAATATTCTATCAAGGTCATTGTTACTACTTGGATGGTGTAGGAGGAGAATGTCCATATGGTTATAGTCTTGGATCAGAAACGGTTTTATCTGCTATAGCTGATTCATTTATTGGTTTAAATTATAAAACAGCGATATCAAATAATTGTTGCGTTGTAACGTCTGAAAAATCCTCAAATTACGGAATTAATTCAACGGATCAATGCAACAAACAAGGACCATTTACAGTCGTGCCCAGTTACAATGGTGGTGGATGTCGAAATTATACGACTAGACATTCAAGACAATTAACATTTTGTATGAGCAATTAATTTTATTTTGCATTTGTGTTGTAATGATTTCTCTTCGTGAGAAAGAAAAGTTAAAACATTAAAATGCGTACCATAACATCTTCGACTGAAGACCCAACAAAGAATTTTAACAAAACAATACAAGCAAGAGATAACTACTACCTATTTTAAATCAAGCTAATCTTAGATATTTTTCGAATAAAAACTGAACAAAAAGGATCCGATGTCTTTGCTGGCAAGTTCCTGACAGTAAATAAACAGATCTGATAGAAAAAACACACTTTTCGAACATCGATGTAGTACATATTAGACACGAAGAAGACCGAAGTCGTCATCAATGATAGCTATTAATTATTAGACAAAGAACAAATAATCGTGTAATATGCACGTCGTTTAAAGAAAATATTCATACTTACTCATTCACGAGTAATCATACATAATTTTGTGTAGCTCTGACTACATACGAATAATTGTTAATCAGCTTTAACTGTTGGAAACTGAAATGAGCTGACTTATTTTGAATAAACTATATCAAAGCGATCTCAATTACCAAGAAGTAAAGTAGTTGAGATTATCTACTTAGAAATCAGTTTTACAAGAAAGCTTCAAGTCATATTTCAGAGTGGGTGTGGGTGTACTTTGAGAGCTGACTCACACTCACACCAAGACATAAGTAAAACTACCTTCTTATTAAATTAATTTTGTAAATTTAATTTGTGTACATTTGTTATAGTGAAAATATTCTTTCGAATCTTAATTTGTAAACCTAGAACATATATTCTTCAAACCGTTGGTTATGTTATTTTTGTGCAAAAACCTTAATATTTTTCTTATGAATGCAGATGGGTCCCTAATGATTGCTCACATAACGATTCGTTCGATAATTCAAGCTGCATAAGGGTGTGGATGTGTGAGGTAGGTGCGCGTGTAATTACTGGGAAGAACAAACCCACACCCGCATCACTCAAACACAAAAAAGAAAAAATAGAACTCTTATATATACGAATGAAACCACCATTAATAAACAATATGCAAAAAGAAAGTATAGATGAATACAGTCTATTTCTTTGTGTATTAGAAGATTCCATTTTCATCTACTTCAAAATAAGACCTAACTCAAGTACTTCTACAACAATAAATATCTTGACATTTTGATGAAACTTGATGAAGAACACGGTGCTTCCACTTCTATATCGTAACATTTTCATATATCGACTGCTGCTTACTAAATATCCAATATTGGCAAGAAAATAGTAAATTGAGAAATCAAACAGTTGTGTTCGAATAATATAAGAAATATAATGTTCCATATTGAAAACATGAGTCATACGAATTGATACTTTTCATGTAATGAAATAAATTCTAGCAAATAAATAGGTATTTGTTCGACAAAATTTATGTTGTTTAAAGAATGTGAAAGATAAGTATTATGAATAATTTTTATATATTTAATTGATAGAGTTTAAATGACTAATCCTTAAAAGATAAAATAAACTGGACACGACAATGTTCTAAAAAGATTTATTTTCAATATTTTCATTTTCTAATTCTTTGTTTTTTAAATTCTTCATATATAAAATCATATTGATCTTTTAATTTAGATTTATAGAATTGTTGTGTTTCTTCAAGACAATCTCTATATATCGTAGCTGATGATGATATCGTTTGATTATTTCTATCGTTGATATTATCATTGATCGAATTAAGCTCTTAATAATATAATAATGAAATAATAAAATTAAAAACAAAAATAATCATGTATCAATATATATATATATATATATGTTCGATAGTTTTGAATAAATTGGCGAATTAAAGGATAATTGATTACTTGTCCATCATGTTATATCTAGCCATTTTTTTTATTGCCATCTCAATAATATTTGTTTTATATCAGTTACAAAAAAAAAATATATAATTTATACACATATAGTATAAACATTATAAATACATTTCGTACTATGTCCATGTTGACTTAACAAATAATAATTGTATCAAGTTTTTGAAGAAAATCTTCATCAGTCAAATCTTTTCCATTCTAGAATAATAAAAAAAAACAAAACCCAAATAGATATGCTCTGATTACTATTTTCTTTGAGATTTAAACGACTTCTATGATGGAATATGATGATCTAAGATTTTTGGAAACTAAATGCAAAACTAAATGTATGGTATACAAACATATCATTAAAAAATGTTGTCTTGAAAAAAAAATTTACATGTACTTAATTCTTATTTACCACATAGTCACTATCTAATTCTAAATTTAGAAAGAACGAATATCATCGATGCATTCAAGAATATTCTGTCGTAGAAAAAGTTTTCATTGATTAATATATTCTTAGATATACGATGGTTCGTTCAGAATTTTTCAATAGTAAGATACAAACTGATACGAATAGAAAGAAAAATCTCAGATGAATGGATATGAATATATTGTGAAAAACAAATAGAATAATAAACCGTACATCAAAGTGTCGAAAATCGTTTCCTAATATAAAAGAAACATATTTAGTAGTCATTCGAGCTAGTAGGTTTTATTAATATCTGTCATAAAGCAATAAATAATCAAATAATTAATAGGATTATTCTGCATTAGTTAAAAATATAAGGACCTAACTATTGTTATTTTAAGTTAACATGCAATTATAGACATAATTTTTTTAAAAATGCGATTGAATGTTGTTGAATTATAAGGTAACATTGAAGACTATTTCAGATAAGGCTGATTTATTGCAAAATTTTTAAATAGTTGTTTGAGTTTACTATTCAATTGTTTATAATCACTGGAATACTTTTTTACCAAAGCCATTTGAATTTTTCTTTCCTCCTTTTCTCTTTTAATGTGAGTGTAGGCATAGATCTTGATTACACCTTTGTATTACTACGCCGTCAACTTTCTATTTATTTGTAGATGAAATTATATTTAAGCTATGATAAATATGCTAACAGTATGCCTCTCACCTTCTCTGCATCATATTAGCATCAATGGTTAGCTTTCAAATTTATCTCAATGACAAACAAAAAATGAAAAACAGTATTTGTATCGGAAAATCTAAATTGACAAAGAACAAACAAATAACTATGAAAACTTAGTCATATGATTCTTACGTTATCTAATTGAAGTTCTCAAATAATGATGTGCTATGATTGAGTCATAATAAGTTTGCATGTATGACTCATGCCATTTTGTTGTTATTGATCAACAAATCAATGATGAAGCACAAAAGAAACATCGTTGGATTAATTTTAATTCACGAGAAAAAAATTCATACAAAACTATGTCAAAATCTATCTGTATTTTCATCTAAATTAAATATGTTTACAAAGAGTTTAGGCGATTGGTTACAGATTCGACGAACGAAATAAAATCATCATTCCAACAAAATAAAATATGTATTACTTATATAGATATATTTTATTTTATTTTATCATGTGATACTTATTGTATAACTTGTTAAACTCAAAGAATATTTATTATCTGTCTACTCTGTATGCTATACATGAATTAAGAATATAGTATAATGGTGAAGAGTTGAATTTTCTTTCAGATAGTTAACATTCAAACAATACTAATGATTCATTTTCTTTGATGAATACCGAAAAGATGAATTTCGAATCATTAGCCAACGAATTATTACTTTATATGTTCGAATTTCTTTCTACACATCATCTTATCGATGCATTTCATGGTCTTAATTCACGATTCAATTGTCTTCTTTTTCATCATTTTACTGTTATAGGTATCGATTTTCGATCATTACATGCCGATAAATTTGTTACAATCTGTCAAGAATATGTCCCAAGTTTGATCACTCAGCTATCTCCAATGCAGATATCAAAGCAAAAGTGTTTTCAATCACCGAATCAATTCAATATTCATAATTTTGCACTTACTCAATTTATTCAATTGAGATCATTTCCATTAAGCAATCCTTTACAAAAACAGATTCCGAAAAAAATCATCTTAGGATTGTTTCATTTAATTGATCTTACAAATTTGAACTTCAGTCAGCATTCTTTGGTAGCAGATGACTGTAAGCATATGTCAACTGACTATTCTTTAATAAATTATCTATGGAGTCTACCAAATCTTATTTATTGTCATTTGGACGCTACGAGTTGGCATCAATTGGGTTATGGTGACTTCGTAGTACCTACAGTGATGTCGTCAAGCATCACAAATCTGTCTATATCGCATCTAGATACATACTCTTTTGATCTTGATCAACTATACGTGAATACACCAAATCTTGAACAGTTTTCGATATCATTTTCTGACAGTTTTTCTCAGCAAATTCTAACATCACCTGTTCTATCAATCACGTCTTTAGAGCTGTCGCTAAGTGAACATCAATATGATCTACTTAATATGTTACAATGGATGCCTAATTTATGTCGATTGAAAATGAATGGTTCTTTTTACATCAGTGGATATAAATTGGAAAAGATTATTTCTAATCATTTGCACAAATTAAGAAAATTCGATTTTAAACTATCAGGATTCTTTGAAGATGATAATATGACCGAAGAAGTTGATGAATTACTTAGTGCATTTAAAACAACCTTTTGGATTGATCAGCATCGTTGGTTTGTGCAATGTCAATGGTATCCAGTCACGTCAAACTATGACCTTTTTACTTTATCATATGCTATTAATGATGTTTGTATAAAGTATCCATTACTCTTGAAATCTACTTGTCCTCAAAATGACTACCATCACATATATGACGCTGTACGTTGTTTAAGATATGATAATGAGACTGGAAAATGCTCTCAACAATCTGATATTCGATTCTACAAACTAGAAAAATTGGAAGTACAACTTCCTGTTGATGAACATTTTTGGTCAATTGTTCCAACATTCGATCGTTTAATTTCATGCGACATAATATCACATGAGAATAACAAAGAGTGTCAAGATCAGTTACGAGTTCTTCTGTCTCGTGCATTCAATCTGTTGTTTCTAAATCTTCCACGTTTAAAAACAAATGATTCTCTAGTAGGCGTATCATCGCAAATCGACGATAGATTGAAAAAACAGCTCGATCTGAAAGAACTTGTGGGTTCATTTGACGAGAAACAATGTCTAACTTTCTGTCATTTACCTCTAGCAGTACAGTGTGAAGAACTTCACATTTGTGTAAAAAATCGGATATCAATATGTGATCTTGTTAGAACAATGCTTCGTTTACGGTTATTATTTGTGAAATGTGACGATGATGAACGACAAAAACGATCTGTAATCAAACAAGATATGAAACAGGAAAAATCAGAGGAAGATGAACTTGTCAATTGGTTAAGACAGCAATTGTCAAATGTGCAGCGATTGGTTCGAATATCTCGTTGGGGTTCTACTGTTGTATTGAAATTTTTTTAAGATGAACATAATAATAACGATAGAAGACTAATGGACTTCTTTTGTCTTTATTGTATAATATGATAAACAGAATAGAGCGAATCAGATAAATCTTTATTCGGAAATATTTTGAAAAAATAGGGTGTGAACATGGGTGGATATTGGGGTGAGTTTGGATTGAGTATTCACTGAACCTCAATCCACCCACAACCACACCCTGAACATCAACTGGAATACATAACAAAAATATGGATTTGAATACGATGTAGAAGAAAAAAAATATTTGTAGACCCAAACGGGTAACATAGTTTTTTTTATTTTGTCTATAGTTTCGATTACATCACTAGAAAAGAATAACTGTACAACTAACACAGACAATGCTAAAATTGGGAAACAGGAATTTTGCAGTGCTGACTTTGGCAGTTGACTTTGGGCAATTGCCGAAAGTTGTGTTTTCATTTGACTTTCGTCGTAAACCGGACTGACTTTCGCCAATTGCCGAAAGTTGTATTTTTTTTTTTGACTTTCGCCCTAAATGGGATAGACTTTCGACAATTGCCAATAGTCTGGATAAGGTCTGAAACGCGTCAGTAAATCATCTTTACTACACCTTACTTTCAGCAACTAATGACTAACTGTTTGTTATAAAACCACAGCAATTAGTAAACTAGCGGGTTCGAGTGCGAACACCAATAATTATAAGTTCAAAAAGTCGAGAAAATCTTAAGCTCACACTTTCGACAGCGCCAAATTACATGCTGTCAAAACTTTAGTAAATAATGAGTAAATTATCGAAAGTACAGTAATGCTCCATTTAATTAAATGATAACGTTAACTGTCTATTACAGTACCTTTGGTAATTGCCGAAGTCGTATTTGCGAAATTCCGTTGCCAAAAAAACTGGACTTTCGACAATTGCCGAAAGTTCAATTGATTTGAGATCAAAATTTCAATACAAACACAACTTTCGGCAATTGCCCAAAGTCAACTGCCAAAGTCAGTACTGCAAAATTCATGCTATCCCTAAAATTGTTTTGTAAAATGCGAAGTGTTGGTTCAATTGATCTCATATGGATAAGAGATTTTGGATGATCAAAGCTTGTACGAGCATTTTTGGCTAAAGTCAAGAATGCTTCGGGAACAGATACGTGTATCTGGTTTTATCTTGCCTTCAAGATGGCTCTTTGAAATTACTTCTTGTTCAGTCAAAATTTTGTATTGACCTTGTAGAAGCATTTTCTTAAATGTCTCGGCAAATGCAGCATGACCTTTATTTCGAACACATTGAATTAATGTTACTGCACTCATTCTTCTTTTTTGGTTCAATTCGTGGATTAATGCCATGAAAGAACCAATGCCAATATCATCACTGATGAATACATCACTTTTTGCGTCAGTGGCGAGTGCAAAACTACCGGCAGGTGCTGAAACTAAAATTGTACTTCCAACTTGGCGATTGTTAATAATTTCATCTGAGACAATACTGTTTTGATCGAGATCATTTCTTTCTTGTTAACACATAATGTAATATATTGTCCAGGATAATAAGGGATGAATTTTCTACTATTTTGACGTTGCATTAATAAAGTGTAAATCGGCTCACTGGCGATTTCCTCTGTCTTAACAATTGTAAATTGTATAGAACTCTTATCACGTTCATCAGTACCAAGTTTGTCGTATTATTCCTTTTCTTTCTTGTTAAAAGTTTCGGCAATAAGATCATAGAGAGCCTGCCATGTAGCCACTACTGTAGGATATGCGCATGTTGTTTGAGAAGTTGTTTTAGTTCTGCAGTAATAACCATTTTAGTTCTAAAACAGAAAGAATTTTTGTTTGCTTTTTTGACTAAAGGACACGACTGGAAAATCGGTCTTGGTTCATTTATAAAAGGTGGTTAAGTTTCATAAGAACTTCTGTTGTTCCTTATGGGAATTCATATGAATGAGAGATCATCAAAAATATTCCGAACGAAATATTACCTAGAATAGAGTTTGTCAGTAAGTTAATAACACGAGATGCATACTAAAACAGAACAAAAATATGAATTTCCAAAATTTTCTTAGAAAATGGGTGTGATGTAAAGTAAAAGTAAACAGTTTTATCTAGAGAAACAAACGATGAAACACGGTAAATGGAGCCTATAAGAGAATCTGTTACAAACTAGTTAATTGATCTTTAATGGATTTAACGAAAGTAAATTTATCCATATATTAATCAATGTTTTCATGATCAAGTACATACATACATGAGCTCCAAATCTGACTACTTCAGTCTTTTCCTATCTGGGCCTACTTCTGCATAGAAATGTATATTTCATCACGACTTAGAATAGCTATGTTACCATAATATAAATATATATATATGGGATACGAGAGTATAAAATATAGGGATGATGTAGGTCATTTTTTATGAACTTTGTGAGTAACAACTGTGAGTTTTAAACTGCCTCAGACTAAGACTGAGAGGATGAGAGAAAGCAAATAACGACTACTTTCATTTAACATGGAGTCTCCTATAACATGCATATATATACTCTAGAAGTATGAATAGATATATTCCAGCAGATATGTGGGATCAAAAATAAGCTTAGACTCTTGTAATACTCATTGATACTCAAACTCAAATCAGATATTTACTTGTAATAGTTAGAGGGATAAAATAAATAGAGGCTTGTTATATTCTTGGTTAACTGAATAAAAATATGGAAAATGTAACTGGTACAGAGTGATCTATAAATAACTAGATGATAAAAAATCTACATATTATTAATTCTATTTAGTCAAATAGACTGATACTTTGGTCATTGATAAGGTTTTACTCGGACTGTTTCATGTGAAAAATGTAAATAAGTTCTATGTTCAAAGATTGTTGGTTGATTTCATAACAGTTTTGCCTGTGTCAGTAAGAGGAATAAATATGAAACAAAGCTTCAATTCCGATAGAATTGAATGAAAAACATCATCACATAAAACAACATGCTAATTATGATTACGTCTGTTTACGAATTAAACTTGTAAAAGAAAATTTGAAATTTTTCCATAAAAAATAACATATAACTTTTTTTGAATTATTTTGTTGAATATATATTTTAACGGAAAAAACATCAGCTGTTTTTTCAAGAGCCCAAAACTCAAATTTCATTGAACAAGAAAGTTGTCCTATCCTAGTCTGAAATCTGATGTGAAGTATTCAGCAAATATTGTTTTTTAATCAACTGAGAAAATGAGAAGAAGAAATCAAAACGAAGTTAATTAATGATATTACATTGGTCTTCATAGGAATAGTTTTATAAGCAACGAAAATTATCTTTTTTGGTTTTGCCAGTTTCATTGATGTCTTTTGAAGAGAGAAAAATAAATATAAAAAGTTGGCGTATATCTCTACCAGGTATGGTGACCTCTTTAGTTATTATCGCATTAAATGAGCGAATGCAATCAAACTTATTATTTTACTGCCAGAAAAAGGATAAATAGGAATTACTGAAGATAAGAACAAATAATCGAAAGTCAATCCCAACGGAACACAAAAAGCAAGAAAATCGTATACGTAAAGCAGCAAGTGTAACAACATTGTTATATCCGTTCTTTCTCATAAAATTCTTGCCTACTATTCTTATTTTCTTCTTCTGTTCTATTTACAGTTTGATCTCTTTTTCTCTCCCCTGTCCTCAAAACATAATAAAACACAATTCCACCATTGCTAACGCTTCTTCTACTGAAAAATCGTCGCAATAAGTAAGGAAAAAGCAAAAAAGAACAATGGACCAACCAAATGTATACAAACTAGAGCAAACATTGTGGCCTGAATGTATAGATGAGACTGAATTTTTTTCTATAATGATGACTATTCCCGCACACTGTAAAATGCATCAGTAATTAAGTTTAAACAGCTCACATGATTTAAGAAGTTCTTCGACAAGGATATAATAATCTTTAATACTATGAGATTTTTTCTTTGTGCCATTGGAAAAATATCGATTATTTCGGAAAATAAACGATGATAAAATGAAATAATACGTGCAAGACTATTATTAAAACAGTCAATAGATCACTTGCATGGTTCAAGGACATTTTCTTCGTATATGTGTAATATTGTATAAACAAATGGTCCAATAGAGAAAACGCATTAATATACAAATAGATTTTATTGCCAGAATTAGCTCTATAAAATGGATCTGAACAAATATTGATTCGACGAATTAGCTATTCATGGAAAAAAAGAAAAAAAAACAATGAATTTATATGTAATACTAAAATTACACCAACGTTTTTGAAAGAATCGTTCAAACTAAGAAATATTTTAATAACCTTTTGGCTGAGGAAAACTATGTTCTCTAGGACTGCATGCTCGGAATCTAAACTTTAATAGACATCACTACAATATAAAGACTTATTTCTGGTTGAACGCCATCTTCAAATAGGTTTTTTATTTTAATTTTCTCAAATATTTATTAATGCGCAATATACACAAGAAAATAGAAGAATATGAAAGAACAACAAGGTGTCCTGAAAACTCATAGATAGTATCATGAGCATTGTGATCAATGATTTATCACTTTTCATTAGTATAATAGATTATGAGGCGATTATTTGAAAACTAACAATCATAATACATGAGCACGGATCGTCGATTCCATTAAGACTAATTGTGATTTCTCGATATTTATTTCAACTTCAGTGTATAGAAGGATTGAGTTGTATTTCTACAACGCCTTTTTTATTTGTTGTTTTTCTTTGTTCAAAGTCAGAGAGAAGTCGTTTCCTTGCTTCTTTTTATAGAAATTATTGAATTATAAGCAGACCAAATGAAGTTTTTAAGCACATCATTTGGATAAGTCAGACCAAGTCTATTATATGCTTCTACTCTCTAAAAAATAAAGGTGCAATAGGAAACTATAAAAGGTTCTACCGACGATCTTGAACCTTTTATGGTTCTAGATTTGGGTACCATTTTAAGAACCTTTTTTAAAGTTCTAGACTCTTAGGCTAGAACCTCTTCTAGTTCCACGTTGCTGGCTAAAA